TACACTGCGACAACCAGAGCGCGACCAGGATCGCGAACAAGCCGGGATTCGTCAACCGCACCAAACACATCGCGCTGCGGTACTTCTTCGTCAAGGACGAAGTTGACAAGGGCAAGGTTGACCTAACCTACTGCCCGACGGGTGACATGGCAGCTGACTTCCTCACGAAGAAGCTGTCACGTGAGCAGTACCAGCACTGTGTCAGAATGTGATGTTTGTGTAGCCTGCAGTGGGGTACTCTGTAGCGAGTACAGCTCTAATTAGGGTTTGCTATATGTACTCAACTGCATGCTAGTGAAAACCCTCTTTCCTGATTATCGTTTTAGCCTGCTGTTTCGACATGCTACGTTCCCTCCCACAGAGGCTCCCTTGCAGACTCTCCACCTGGACGTGTGGGGCCCAGCCCGCGTCCGTGGACAGGGCCACGAGCGGTACTTCCTGCTGGTCGTCGACGACTACACGCGTTACACCACGGTCTTCCCCTTGCGCAGCAAGGGGGAGGTCCCTGATGTTTTGATCCCCTGGATCCGCGCTGTTCGTCTCCAGCTCCGCGAGCGGTTCCAGTCGGACTTTCCTGTCCTGCGTCTGCACTCTGACAGAGGTGGTGAGTTCTCCTCCGACCTCTTGGCAGCCTACTGTGCGGAGCACGGCATCCAACAGTCGTTCACACTTCCGGCCTCTCTGCAGCAGAATGGGGTTACTGAGCGCCGCATTGGCTTAGTCATGGAGGTCGCTCGTACCTCCATGATCCATGCGGCTGCCCCCCATTTTCTGTGGCCGTTTGCGGTCCGGTACGCCGCGCATCAGCTCAACCTCTGGCCCCGTGTCTCCTTGCCGGAGACCTCGCGCACACTGCTGTGGACGGGGAAGGTTGGCGATGCGTCGCGTTTCCGGGTCTGGGGTGCTCGTGCCTTTGTCCGCGATACCACCGCGGACAAGCTCTCTGCCCGCGCTGTTCCCTGTGTCTTCCTTGGCTTTGTCCCTGACGCACCTGGTTGGCAGTTTTACCACCCCACCTCGCGCCGTGTCTTCCCCTCTCAGGACGTCACGTTCGACGAGTCGGTTCCCTTTTACCGTCTCTTCCCCTACCGCACTGCCCCTCTCCCCCCCCCGCCGCTCTTCCTCGCTCCAGGTGCTCCCCAGGTAGACCCCCTCCCCGCTCCCGGTCCTGCTCCTTCAGGTGTGTCTCAGGTAGACCCTCCTCCTCAGGTTGAGGTCACTGGTGACTCAGGTCCTGCTGAGGGTGGTCCTGCTCGGGGTGCTGCTGCTGGGGGTGCTGAGCCTGGGGGTGCGGAGCCTGGGGGTGCTGAGCCTGGGGGTGCTGAGCCTTGGGGTGCGGAGCCTGGAGGTGCGGAGCCTGGGGGTGCGGAGACTGGAGGTGCTGAGCCTGGGTGTGAGGAGTCTGGAGGTGCTGGAGCTGCTGGAGGTGCTGGCGCTGGTGGCGCTGGCGCTGGAGGTTCTGGAGCTGCTGACGGTGCTGGCGCTGGAGGTTCTGGAGCTGCTGCGGGTGCTGGCGCTGAGGGTTCTGAGTTTGCTGTTGCGCGGTTTCCTTGGAGCAGTCGCCTTCGTCCGCGTGTGCCTCTCACCTCGCAGCAGCTGCACGACTGGTACGGTCGCCGTCAGGGTCGCGCTTCTGGAGCTCGGGGCTCTGCCGCTGGAGGTACTTCTGCTGCCGTCACTGGAGCTGGGAGTGGTGCTGGTCCCGGAGGTGCTCGTACTGGAGGTACTGGAGGTACTGGAGCTGCTGGGGCTGGAGGTGCTGAGCCTGAGGGTGCTGCTGCTGGAGGCACTGAGGCTGGAGACCCTGGGACTGGAGGTGCCGATCCTGGGGGTGCTGCTGTTGGTGGAGCTGGTCCTGGAGGAGCTGGCGCTGAGGGTTCTGGAGCTGCTGGAGGTGCTGAGCCTGAGGGTGCTGCTGCTGGAGGCACTGAGGCTGGAGACCCTGGGACTGGAGGTGCCGGTTCTGGGGGTGCTCCTGTTGGTGAAGCTGGTCCTGGAGGAGCTGGCGCTGAGGGTTCAGGGACTGCTGGAGGTGCTGGAGCTGCTGGGGGTACTGGAGCTGCTGGTGCTGGTGTCACTGCACAGCCGCGCCTGTTCTTCACTCCACCGTCTCCGTCGTCTCAGCCACCGCCTGACTCTGTGCTTCGCCAGGTTCTTAGTCTCCCTTCGTCTACTGGTCTTCCGTTACAGCCTGGCTCACCGCTACCTGCTCCTTCTCCTTACACTGAGCAGCTAGGGGGTCTTACTGAGCGTCGTGAGCCTGCGTCGCGTCCTGTCTCGCCTGTCTGTTCTGGTCATTCCGGTCGTCGTGTTCCTCGTCCGCGTCTGCCGGCTGTCCCCGACACCCACCTCGTAGTCCGTCGTCCTTCCTCTCCTCCGCAGCGTGTTCCTCTGCCGTCCCCTCCTGCGTCTTCTCTGCCTGTCGTTGCGGACCCTGAGTCTGACCGGTTTCGTGCTGAGCACCCTACTGTCACGCGTCTGCTAGCCACTGTTGTCACTGACCCGTCGTTTGAGTCTGCTGCTGCGTCTGCCTTAGTTGCTGAGCTTGTGGACTTTGCTGCTGCCTGTCGTCTAGACTACGCTGCTAGTCTTGTTGCTGAGTCTGAGTCTGTCTGTCCTCCGTCCGTCGGGGGTGAGTGTGCTCTTGGCACGGACGTCCTTGAGGACAGGCAGGAGGACCTTGAGTGTCTTGCAGCCGCTGCGCCTCATCTCGTGTCCATGCTGCTTGCCCCTGAGGGAGACCCGGATGCTCCAGACATCCCGACCCCGCGCTCTTACGCTCAGGCGATCGCGGGTGAGTACTCCTCTCAGTGGCAGACAGCCATGGACGCAGAGATGGCATCCTGGAAGTCCACAGGCACCTACGTCGACGAGGTTCCCCCACCTGGGGCGAACATCGTAAGTGGCATGTGGATTTTCAGGGTGAAGCGGCCGCCAGGTTCTCCGCTTGCCTTCAAGGCGCGTTACGTTGCACGAGGTTTCAGTCAGCGAGAGGGAGTAGACTTCTTCCAGACCTTCTCCCCCACCCCGAAGATGACCACTCTTCGGGTGCTGCTGCACGTTGCCGCTCAGCGTGACTACGAGCTTCACTCTCTTGACTTCAGCACAACCTTCTTACAGGGCAGCCTGCACGAGGAGATCTGGCTGCGCCGCCCACCTGGCTTCACTGGGTCGTTCCCTCCTGGTACCCAGTGGAGCCTCAGGCGGCCGGTTTACGGTCTCCGCCAGGCGCCACGTGAGTGGCACGACACACTGAGGACGACACTTGCGGCTCTTGGGTTTGCTCCGTCGACTGCTGACCCGTCGCTGTTTCTACGCACCGACACTTCTCTGCCGCCGTTCTACATCCTCGTGTACGTCGACGACTTGGTCTTTGCCACTGCTGACACTGAGGCTCTCGCCCTGGTGAAGTCGGAGCTGCAGAAGAGACACACGTGCACAGACCTGGGTGAGCTGACAAGTTATCTTGGCTTGCGGATCACCCGGGACAGAGCACGCCGCACCATCACACTGACTCAGTCACACATGGTGCAGCAGGTCCTTCAGCGCTTCGGCTTCACCTGGTCCTCGGCACAGCACACTCCTCTGGCTACAGGTCACTCGCTCTCAGCTCCACCTTCGGACGAGTCCGTAGAGCCGAGTGGTCCTTACCCAGAGCTAGTGGGCTGCCTCATGTACCTGATGACCTGCACTCGTCCTGACCTTGCGTACCCTCTTGGCCTTCTGGCTCGCTACGTGGCTCCTGGTCGGCACCGAAAGGTGCACATGGATGCTGCTAAGAGGGTACTACGCTACTTGTGCAGTACATCGGGCATGGGGCTCGTGCTTGGAGGACGGGGCGACGTTGTCCTCACTGGGCACTCAGACGCTTCTTGGGTTGACGACCAGGCTACGCAGCGGTCGTCACAGGGTTACACCTTCAGCCTTGGCTCTGGTTCGGTTTCTTGGCGTTCTACGCGCTCGTCTTCAGTTCTCAGCTCCAGTTGTAAGGCTGAGATCTACGCCACAGCCATCGCTGCACAGGAGTTACGCTGGCTCACCTACCTGCTGACTGACTTGGGAGAGCGGCCTCGTTCTCCTCCAGTGCTGTACGTCGACAACAAGGCCGCCATTGCCTTGTGTCAGGAGCACAGACTGGAGCACAGAACGAAGCACATTGCTCTGCGTTACTTCCTGGCTCGAGAGTTGCAGCAGCGTGGTCAACTTCGTCTTGCTCACGTGGCCACTCGGGCCAACACTGCTGATATACTCACCAAGGCGCTTCCGTCTGGTGATCATCAGCGTTTCTGCACTCTGTTAGGCCTTGTGCCCACGTTTCCTCACTTGCTGTAGACTTTGCTTGTACTGTGATCTATATATACCTGCATGCTTGCTCTGCTAGGTAGAGATCACTGTGCTGTTGTTGTTGCATATATACCCCTGCATGTGAACTGGCCTTGTGGCTCTTTGCTTGTGCTCAGTGTGTGTGGTGACGTTGTTATCCACCCTGAGCTTGCTTTGCTTCTCTTGACTGGTCTTGTGACCCCTTGCTCTCCCCCACTTTGCCTATGGGGGTGTGTCAAAGCATATGCATGTTCTATATGTGTAGGTTGTAGTGGGGTAGCCAATATGGGGTACAGCCCCTTTTAGGGTTTCATACTTGTACCCAACTCTTCCATAGTTCATTCATTCCTGTTACTAGATTCTAACACGAGCAGGTGGCATAATCGCGGGTGCACCAAACGAATAAGAGGGTGTATGTGAACGTACCGAGCAGGTGGCATAATCGCGTGTGCACCAAACGAATAAGAGGGTGTATTTCTATAGAGCGAACGTTTATGATAACCAGCAAATTGTACTCGAAAGGCCAGAATGTGTCAGTGTGCACCTCAGTTTCAAAACAGAACAGATGTGAACCAGTTCCCCACTTTTGAAAACATCACCACGAAGGCACAAATTCGAACATCTTCATGTTGCGACACCAACACCGAACAAGACAACGATATGCCATCTCATTGGTGCTATGCTATCTGACATCATTAACACCACCTCATAATCTCAGCATCAGCATGCACCTACAAACCACTGCCTGCCGTTTCATCAGGGCTGCCCAACATCACCCTCACTAGAAACCGACCTCCAGACACAGCAGCAGCTCCAGCAGCATTTCCAGGCACCTAGACACCACCGCCTGCCATTCCATCGGGGCCATCCAGCATCACCTCACCATTCCATTATCTGACCCTAGAGCTTCTCCCCCCAGCAACAGCAGCAGCTCCAGCAGCATCAACATTGGCACCAAATCGCAGCAGCAGCATCGGCACGAACTGATACTATCATTGAGGCACCTAGACACCACCACCGCCTGCCATGCCATCGAGGCTATCCAGCATCACCCTCACCATCCCAGTATCAGATCCAAGATCTGCTCCAGCAACCTCAGCACGGGCATCCACAGCACCAGCACCAGCACCAGCAGCAGTGTCTGCAGCAGCACCAGCATCAGCATATCCAAAACCATCCACACTCGCGAACCCAGTGCTCGCATCTTCCCAAATCTCCTCTCCACTCTCTTCTGCCACAGCTTTCCCCACCATCTGGCTCTCAGCTAAGAAATACTTAGCTAAAAGCGCCCCAGGTTCGTTCCCCACGCAGGGCGGCGGAGGGGGGGGAGGGAAACCGAGGAAGCGGGCCAGGAAGCTACCAACGCCACGGAGGAAGCGAAAGAGGGAGCATGGGGGGGGAGGGCCGGATGGGTGAGGAGGGAAAGGAGGGCGGTTGGGAGGGGAGAAGGGAGGGGCGAAGGGAGGAGCGAAGGGAGAGGCGAAGGGAGGAGGGAAGGGAGGAGGGAAGGGAGGAGGGAAGGGCGGAGGGGGCCGGAAGATATTAAGATCGAGAGTGGAGAGGATGGGGAGAGGGACGGCATTGTTGGGGAGGGGAGTATGGGCGCAAGGGGGAGGGGGGCAATCTTCGCCAGGCGGACAGGGGGGAGGGGGACAGTCTTCCCCAGGGGGGCAAGGGGGAGGGGGGCAGTCTTCCCCAGGCGGGCAGGGCCCATGGGGAGGATGAGGAGGATGAGGGGGAGGGTGGGGAGGCCTGCACGCGCCCATGTGGAAGCACGCCGGAACCACCTTCTCCCACGGCTTGATGTGGATAACGGAGATGACCATAGCGAGGTACGGGTACTGGTGGATAAACTTGCAGAGAGCCCTGATGTGCGGGGGCGCGTGCTCGTCCTCTGCATGGCTGCATATCCACTTGATCCGCGCGCGAACTGAGTCTTCGATCAGATGAAACCCCTCGATGATGCACGTATCGCAGGTTTCTCCTCCTTCTCCTTCCTCCGCTGCTCCGTTTCCTCCAGCTGCTGCGCCAGCGGCTGCACCAGCGGAAGCATATGAGGAAGGTTCCGGCACGGACGATGACATCAGCATGCCGATGCTGTTCATGGCCATGTGCATGCCTCCCATGTCCACGTCCATACGCGCATGGTCAACCCCCAAGAGACGGCGTGAGGGCGTTGCGACGCGAATCTGGAATAGGGAAGGAAATCGGAAGGCCGAGAAAAGAGAAACATGATGAGCTTACCTCTGGGTAAGCAGAGACGACGAACTGAGAGACATGGTAAGGTAAGGACAACAAGGTAAGGCCAAGATGTTTTTCCTGTTAAAAAAAACGGCAGAGAACAGGAAGACATAAATGGATCACTCTGAGGATTGACAGACCAGAGAATACGCAACGCACTTACCTTCACAGGTGCGTCGTCCGAAGCAAGCACCTCAACGGTATCAGCCTCGGAACCAGGCTCGGCAACAGCTTGCTCTTCGACCAGATCCTCAGATTCGGCAGCAGCAGGCTCGGGATTCGCTTCGGGAGGATGAGGTTTGGGCATGCAGGGCCCATTGCTGATGCAGCCTGTTACAGCTATGGAGAGCGGGTTGATGTGGATCTTGTCGAGAATGCCGATGGCTGAAGCTGTTGTGAGGTTGGCGAAGAGGCGGCACTGATGGGATGTGGAAACAGGAGGGGTGAGGGGACGGGGAGGAAGGGAGAGGAGGAAGAGAGGGGAGGAAGGGAGGGAAAGGAGGAGGAGAGGAGAGGAGAGGAGCGGAGGGGACGAGGAAAGGGGAGGACGGGAAAAGGGGGCGAGGGGTTAGCCAGAGACAAAGGGGTGAATAGGTCTTCACTGGTAGCAGAGACAAAGGACTGGATAAAGATGGAACAGAGGTAGAGTAAAGATGGAACACCGAAACAGGGCAGTCCAGTACATCCCATTCAAGGAGAAAAGGACAAGAAATAACGGCTCCAAAAGGAAAGGGTCGACTGGGGAAGGGAGGAGCGGGAGAGAGGGCGGGAAAGGGAGAGCGAGAACGGGACTGCCTCAAAAACCAGTAGGCGGAACTCACGAAGTGGCGGTGCGGAGGGTCCGCTGCAGCAGCAGCATCTTCGGTGCAGATGGTGGTAGCAATGTCGGAGGAGAGTGCCTCTACGAGCTGCTTAGTCCCCCCTGTGACGCACGCTGAAGAGCGGGAGGGAGTGGGGAGTGGAGAGGATGAAAGAGGGAGGAGAATGGAGTGGATATGGGGGGATGGGGGGAATCAGCACGCTAATAGCGACGATGCCGATGGCGAGTGCCTCCAGAATCACCATAGTCGCCTCTGCGACACAGGCTGACAGGCAGAGAGTTAGAGGCAGAGGGAGTGAAGAGGACGGATCAAAGGGAATTAGAGAAGAGCAGGAGCGCGTTATTGGTAGCAATGTTGGTGACCTTGAACGCCCGCTCTAGTCGGCCTCGTGACGCAGTCTGACAGTCGAAGAGGGAGGGAGTGGAGAGGAAGGCGAGAAGGGGAATTCGAGGCGGCAAGAAACAGCACCATGCCAACGCTTAAACAGTGTACACATGCCTTCACCCTCATCTGCTTCTGGAGTCAGCACACCCCACTGCACCACATCATACCACACCCCACCACACCCCACCGCACCGAACCGCACAGCACCGCACCGCACCGCTCGCACACACGACGCCCTCACCTCCGCAGCTCGTCCTGTCCATCCTCGACGTCGCAAACACCCCCATCGCGCGCCCCACGGCCGCCAGCAGCTCAAACGTCAGCTGAATCGCGCCCGGGGGAGGGGGAGGCGGCGGAAACGGCGGGTGCGGGTGCGGGTGCGAGTGCGGACCAAACGGGGGATGCGGACCAAAGGGGGGATGCGGGCCGAATGGGGGATGCGGGCCGAAAGAGGCGAAAAATCCGCCCCGGCGGGACTCGTCTGCGGGGTCGGCGGAAGCGAAAGGATCGCGCGGAGATCCGTGCGGCCAGTCGGGCCGGGAGGGCCTGTCGGGGTGGTCGGGTCGGGAGGGCCTGTGGTCGGGCCGGGAGGGCCTATCGGACCCGTCAAGCGTGCTGGATCGAGAAAGTGAGTCGGCGAGAGGATCGCGCGGGGAATTGTGCGGCCAGTCGGGCCGGGAGGGCCTGTGGTCGGGTCGGGAGGGCCTGTGGTCAGGCCGAGAGGGCCTGTCAGGTCCGTCAGACATGCTGGGATGAAAGAATGGGCCGTCTAAAAGATCGCGCGGGGAATTGTGCGGCCAGTCGGGCCGCGAGGGCCTGTCAGGGTGGTCGGGCCGCGAGGGCCTGTCGGGGTGGTCGGGCCGCGAGGGCCTGTCGGACCCGTCAAGCCTGTCGGGACGGAAGAATGGGCCGTCGAAGGGATCGTGAGGAGGGCCGTCAGGCCCGTCAGGACCGCCGGGACGGCCGGGCCCCCAAGGACCACCGGGACCATCAGGACCGCCGGGACCGCCGGGACCACCAGGACCGTCGGGGCCCCAAGGACCACCGGGACCGTCGGGACCACCAGGACCACCAGGGCCGCCGGGGCCCCAGGGACCGCCGGGACCGCCAGGACCGCCGGGGCCCCAGGGACCCCCAGGACCACCAGGACCGTCAGCGTGAGGAGGGCCGAACATGGGGTAGAGGAATGACTGAGGCACGACGAACTCATTCCCCTGCGAAACGAAACAAGAAATGAAAGAGGACAACAACGACAAGAAATGAATACTAAAAAAAATATTCGCACGGCTTGAGGGCTGAAAATGACGGCGGGAATATGGAACAAACATGAGCCCATGAAACCGGATACCCAAGTAACAAGACTCGCAGGTAAAGAGCATCCGTGCTCTTTTGAGGCGCCTCAAAAGTCGAATACAGAAGTAACAAGAACTCGCGGGTAAAGAGCATCCGTGCTCTTACCGAAAAGGGAGGAGTGAATGGCGGAGGATCCGGTTTGGGTTCCGTAGCAGCTTCGCCAGAAGTTTCCGCCGCGAAAGCTGACGTGGCGAGCGCCGGGAGAAGCACCAGAAGCGTCAGCATCCACCATGATGACGTCAGGCGAGCCATGGTAGGAGGTGAGCCAAGCCTGAACCATTCATAAGGGGATGAGTAGGGTAGCGAGCAAGAATTCGGTGGAAAGAAGGTAAGCTGAATGCTGAATATAAAATGGTCGGAGAAAGACTGAAAGTCGAAAGAGCATTCGAGAAGATAACACGGAAATATTCTTGACATCCGGCGAAGAAAATCTGAAAGCAAATTCTAAACGATAGCTGGAGCTTCTCGCTTGCTAGAATCCTTCCAAAAAAGAATTCGCTAGGAAACGCGAAACGTCTGGGAAAATAGCGGAGATTCACCGTTCAGCAGGAATATTGACAGAAGAAGCGAACAGAATCAAGCACTGCCGAAGCGCTTTCCCCACAAAGAAGTCTCTAGGCTAAGATGAAAAGGACTACTCCCTCCAATGAAGGAAAGAACGAAGATATATACAAGAGGGCTCCGAATATATAAGCGTTGGTCAAAATGGCGGTGTTGCTCTCGGCACTAGGATCAGTCAACAGGGAGCCAGTCAAAAGAGCGCAAATCTTGGAATTCGGAGAAATGCTGCATGGAAGGAGTCGAAGAGGAAGGAGAGAAACGGTGAAACTCTGTACACCGGATTTCAAGTTACAGTTGCACTGGATTTGTGTTGTTACACTTGAACTCTCCCTGTCATCATCAATCAGGTGGAGATCAGCTGCCAGATGATATCTAGGTAAAATCTTGGACTTACGTGTACAGAGCGTGTGCTACTCGTGAACGCAAATGGTACAGTACCACTGTTGTGCAAATCCCTGATTCCCTGCTGTGCCTGCTCTCATTGCGGACTTCACGAACTAGCTAAACGAAAGAGGGAGCAGTAATCCGTTCATTATCCGGATAACAGCACTGTAAACTGTTTGAAGTCGAATATCGAGTACTAAGTGCGCAAATCTTGATGACCCAAAATTGCGAAGCGAGTGTGTGATTGGTTACGCCATGGCATGGCATCCTTATCACCTTGATGGTCTTCTGCCCGAAGAAAGACGTTGACTGGGGCAGATAGGAGCATTGTTACGAGCATTTGCGACTTGTGGGGAGAGAAAACCACAGTTGGCATAAACGTGCTGCCCGAGTCAAAAATTTCGAACCATCGGAGAAACCCGTCAGTCTACACGGAAACCCCCGACGGGTCAACTGCCAATGGCCCCCACTGCTACTTTCACTTACTGCGATGTCTCTTGGCGAGGATATCCTCATAGTTCTGCTGTTTCTCCTTAGTTGTAACATGATGGTATCGAATGCACTTCCTTCATCATCTGTAAAACCACATTTAGCTTTCTCAAATCCCATCAGTAGCTACCACACCACAATGCGGTACCAGACAGGTCTGTAAACAGGACTAGTGTCACCCCCTGATCATAAGACCTAGAATAGCTATGAAATGAAGCTAGATTAAATTCTCCACTCCCATGCTGCTTTCGATGCATCCATGTTGTCTTCAGCCTAACACCAGCTTGCTGCCATGACAATCTGAGCCTCAAGCCCTCCCTGTCTCAGGTTCTCCACAAGCGTATTGAACACGCCCTCTCCAATTTTCTTGATAATGGTTGTCATCATTCCGGCCATGCTCCTCCTCAGGTCCTTAATACTGGTCAAGCCCGCACCCAACGCAGAGTTGTAGAATTGAGCTGCAGAGTCTGTGACAACCTTGCACTTGATCCAGTCTAAGCTATAGCAGCCCAAATTGACTACAAGAGCTGCATACGACATTCTGGCCTGCATAAGTGAACCACCTTTTTTTAATAAAACTAACCCCTGAAACCTATACACAAGAGAAGCGGGTTCAGTATGCGAGTGCGCCTGCTTCTTGAAGGATGGGGATTAGATCCCTGTTGTAGTTCATGCTGATCACGTCTGTAGCACAGAGAGGAGGCAGAGACAGAAGGGGGAAAGGGGGGGGGGGGGGGGACATGTTAAGAACACACATTTCACATGTTAACACATACAGGGGAAACGGATCCAGGAGACTACCTATCATGCTGAGCATGTATGGGATACAGCAAAGAGAAGGAGTGGAAAGATAATCAAACATTCACTCGAAAGAGTGGGAAGGCAACATGAACAAACATTAGAAGGTAGTGAATGACGGGTGGGAGACTTGTGATGGTGCTAATTACCTCAAGAGCCCATCAAAGGAAAGATGGACAAAGGATGTGGAAATAATGGGTAGACACTGTGCGTGAAAGTCATCTTTGCAGTATGAACAATCATATTCAGGATAAGTTGGGGGGTTGAGGGTCCATGAGATAAACCAACCACTGCGCAGCCAACTAATCGTAGGTTGATGAATAAGGAGGGCATTGAATGTGTCCCAGTCATACTCGCTACAAGCAGCATTAAAACAAGAATTGCGCTACACACTGAAATGATGATGGAAACTCACCATCCATACCGCCAACGAAACGTCCATTGACGAACAAGGCGGGTATCGTATGCGAACCAATCATACTCGCTACAGCGTCCTCCAGTTCCTCGCCATCATACTCTTTATCGAGCTCGCAAACCTGGCGAGAAAGAAAGATTGCAAATTGTGGAAAACAATAAGAAGGGGGGGGGAGGGACATGTAACAGGAAACCTCCACAAGATCTCACAGAAGGTCACAGAAAGGGCCAGGAGGGCAGGGCAGGGCTTCTCGGAATAAGATTTTACAGTATTTGGTGGGGAGGAGCGGGGGGGAGGGAGGGGGGAGGGGGGGGACTACCAGGAATAGGGTTGCACAGTAGTTGGGTGGGGTCAGTACTAAGAATAGGGTTACAAGTACTAAGGGGGGAGAGCACTACCAGAGATTGAACTACGAGGGAAGGGCACTACTGATGGGGTTACACGGTACTAGGAGGGGAGAACTATAAGTAATACGAATTACACAATGTACACCATTGGCTCGACTTACACTAGGTCGCACGCCGAGTCCGTGCAGCACGCTCTTGACCTTCATGGACGAGGGGTCGAAGGATTTACTGTAGATGGTCAACAAGGGACAGAAAACAGGGGACAGAAAACAGGGGATAGACACGCACGGGAAGAACAAGTCAGCAAAGGAAAAAGAAAAACACGAGAAGGTCAAGAAACCGTGCAGCACGCTCTTGACCTTCATGGACGAGGGGTCGTAGGATTTACTGTAAGAGGTCAACAGGGGACAGAAAACAGGGGACAGACACGCACGGGAAGAACAAGTCAGCAAAGGAAAAAAATACACGAGAGAAGGTCAAGAAACCGTGCAGCACGCTCTTGACCTTCATGGACGAGGGGTCGTAGGACAGACATGCACGGAAAGAACAAGACAGAAAGGAAAAAAAACACGAGAGAAGGTCAGGAAACTGTGACCTTCATGAATGAAGGGTCGACAGATTTACTGTGGGAAGTCGAGAGGGGACGGACAGGTAAGGAAGGAACAAGACAGCAAGGGTAGGAAGGGAGGAGTACGCTCAGTTGGGGTTGAGGAGAACTTACTGCAAGCGGTCCGCGAGGAGATGAGGGAATGGGTTTAGAGCGTTTCACGGAAAAAAACAAAAAAAAGGAAACATCGCAATAGACAGTTATGGAACCGACAATGTCGAGGACGGCCTTACCTGAAGAGCATGACGCGGTTCTCTTCCACCATCATATGCGTCCGCTGCATCGACTTGGGACTCGCCTTGCTCGCCTCGGCGCCCATGCTGACTGGTCTGGGAGATGCTAGATTTTGGAAGGGCTTGTTCTATGGAGTGTTGATCGACGGACGGTTCTGCTTCTGCTTCGCCTTCTCAAAGTCACGCTATGCGTGTATAGCCAACTCGCTGACTTTATGACAATGCTTCGCCGGGAATTCGCAGACCTATTCTTTGGAGCTTAAGCCGGAAACCCAAGATGTGGAGTTATAATTGGTAAACTGCGGTAGGCTGTGGCAGAGATTCACTACTAGGAACGGTGGTGGAGGTAAGAAGAATCTGGATTGGACTGATGAATGGTAGTTGGTGGGTTTGAGTCTGAGAGAGGTTTCGCTTCAAGATTTGGGTCGATACAGACGAGCGAGGAGGGAGAGCCACGTGAAACAGCCAAAGCCAAATCAACTGGTCAGCCTGACATTTCAAAGCGCACTGACCACAGCCGAGCCGTCAGTTTCCCAGGTCCGACGCGAGGGAGATTATCGCGGCTTGGAACCACATCCGAGCCTCTGACATAGACATGCGCGTTCAGGCATGTGTTTTGTTGGGTCTGCGGGCTGTTACGCTACCTGAGCGCTGCTTGTTATTAGGTGTGTCATTCACCTCGCAGACATCTCTATTACCAGAGTTATTGACGCTTAACCACGGAAGGGCGACGAACTCGTAACTATTTTCGTGCAACGAAACCTCACATGCGAGGTCTTATGTTCTTGGGAAACCCGGGAAGTGTGTCAGGCGGGTAGTTACGAAAGTGTGCCTTTTAATTTCAAATCCCGGGACAAGCAGGGCCTCCAAAAGAGATCTGTCAGGACGGTTTGCGGAACAGGTTTGGACCAAAGAGCCGAGGCTCGGTCAGTCTTTCACATAATCACCAGCCGCGTCTATTTAGTCACAGCCGCCGTGTCGCCAGACGATAACAGGTCGAATCTGTGCTTTATTGAGAATCTCGTTTGCCCCACAAATCCGTCTGCACTAGCGGAACACAGTCAAAGCTGCGTATCCACATATATATATTGGCTGGTCCATCATCCCCTGATTAAAATTTTACAATTACAGCAAGTATCATTGTTTATAAGAGGTAGAGATAACTCTCAGGAACCACTTGCAGCAAGCATATCCAAACAACCGCACGAGTGTTTCTCTTGTTCCTTGCCATTTGGGTGCTCGAGCATGATGGCTAAAACTTATATCAATCTAACCCTTCAAATCTCCTTGGGCTCATGAAGCACCTGCACATGGACACAACAGCCCAAGGATCACTCGGTGAATGACTGCTAGAGGACAATGGAAAATGATCTATCATACACATGTCTTACATACTGTAAAACCTCACCTGGCAGTGGTGCAAGATGTACTGCCACTGGTGCTCTTAGTGAGTTCTATCCTCGCTATAGAGCGAATCGCTGTGCTGCCTATGTCAAAAGCCAGCATCGGCTTCCCGTTGATGCATGCAGAACGTCGATAAGCTATCGACAAGTTGACTGGGGTTCCAGGGCAAGGCCTGCGAGAAACAAATTGCAAGAGAAGGAGGGAAATGAGAGGAAGACAGGAAATGAGATGGAGGGAGTTGATGGGAGGAAGGAATTGAGAGAGGGAGTTCACAGGAAGGAGGGGACTGGTAGAATACAGTATGCATCCTAGTTTTGAGGCGCCTCAAAGCTGGACTGGTAGATTACAGTATGCATTCTAAGAAATGGTGGAAGGAACAAGGGCTGGACAGGAAAAAAGTAAGATGCCAAAAAATAGTGGGAAAAGTAAGATGTTGCCGAGGGGGGTAAGAAGAGGGAGGTACGAGGGGAGTAGGAGGGGGGTAGGAGGAGAAGACAGGGAACTACAGAAGGCTTACGCTTCAGGGTTATTAGACACCACGCTCCATTGCTTATCCGGGGAGTTTGATGGAGTATCCATTATTACAGTCAGCCCTCCCGTGCAGCCCCCGATATCCAGCATCATCAGCTGTACAGCCGGAGGGTAGAAAAACCCAGGGCCGACTTCCGACCGTTGGATCGTCACCCGGTACGAGAATCCGGCCAATAGCGTCGCAGTGACCTGCCGCAGAAGCGGCCGAGACGAGCCGTACCGCTTGGGGAAATCGTCATCGTAATCGTTATCCGATCCCACTGAGACGAACGAGGCGTTATCCTGTAACCGCGTGAAAGTAACGTAGCTGTACGGGCGGCGATTCTTGTCCTTTCCTAGACCTGCTGTCTGATCCTTAGTGACTGATTCGTTGTAGAAGAGAGCGAAGGATCGGAAGCAGGCGGCAGGTCCGGTGCAGGTATGGGCGGACCAGGAGGGTTGGTAAGAGCAGGCGAAGGAAGGGGAGGAGCGGAGGGAGAGAGGTGGGAGTATGGGGTCGAATGGGGCTATTGCAAAGCCGAAACCGGTGGTAGTTGAAGCGGGTCTAGTAGCAGTGGCGGCGGTGGTGCTGGTAGTGGTGGTGGTGGTATTTCCAAGCAAAGACCCGTCTAGGTCCCAGAGGGCATAGAAGTTGGCGAGTTGTGCACCGGACCTAATGTAGCCAGAGGTCTGGAGAAGGGGAAAAGTGAGCAAAGAGCAGGGAGAAGGGAGTGGAGAGAATGGAGATGGGGAGGAGGCAGAAACATAGAATGAGGAAGGAAGGTGAGGTAAGGAAGGAGGCAAGAAGAAGGGCCTTTTTCTGAAGAGGTTTAACCGCATAGTGTAACGCCCCAGTTGAAATCGCCCCAGAGGGCGATTGGTGTAACGAATGAATGTGTGACAAATGCATGTTTGACTGATGCATGTTTGACTGATGCATGTTTGACTAATGCATGTTTGACTAATGCATGTTTGACTGATGCATGTGTGATTAAACCGACCGACTGTGGGCCAACGTACGTATCATGTATGGTTGACACATTATCAGGATGCCAAAACACTCATGAAGGAAAGCACTCATCGGGTTGGGTGAGGTCCAGAGCCCGTTGGTGTGATTAGCAAAGGCGACATGCATGTGTGATTATGCATGTATAGTGTGTGATTAACGATGGATGTGAGACTGTGCACGTATAGTGTGTAATTCTCCAACCCAATCTCTGGGTTGGGTGAGGCCCAGAGCCTGTTGGTGTCATTGGCAAAAATACACGCATGTGTGACTACTTCGCATGTGACTGATAAATGTGTGACTATTCAGTGTGTGGTGGTCGAAACCTCTCACCGGGTTGGGTGAGGCCCAGAGCCTGCTAGTGTCATTGGCAAATCAGACATGTGTAAGTATGCACGTTTGACTGTTTCTTGTGTGCTTAGCAAAACCTCTCACCGGGTTGGGTGAGGCCCAGAGCCTGTTCGTGTCATTGGCAAAGCGAAGGCCCTGCAGGTATTGGGGTGGTAGGTGTGGTAAAGGAGTGTGAGGGAGAGAGTAAGAGTGAGTGAGTGAGGAAGAGAGTGAGGCCCAGAGCCTGTTGGTGTCATTGGCGAAACGAAGGCCCTGCGTGTGTGCGGTGGGGGTGGGTGGGTGCGAAAGAGAGTGAGGAAGAGAAGGTGAGGAAGAGAGGGTGAGGAAGAGAGGGTGAGGAAGAGAGGGTGAGGAAGAGAGGGTGAGGAAGAGAGGGTGAGGAAGAGAGGGTGAGGCCCAGAGCCTGTTGGCGTCATTGGCGAAGCGAAGGCCCTGCTTGTGTGGTGTAGGGATGGTAGGTGCAAGGGAGAGCGAGGGAGAGAGTGAGTGAGGGAGAGATTGAGTGAATGAGAGAGTAAGAGAGGGAGAGGGAGAGGGAGGAAGAGAGGGTCAGGTCTGGAGCATGTTGGTGTCACTGGCAAAACGAAGGCCCTGCGTGTGTGTGTGGTGTGAATTGGTAGGGGTCGTAAGGGATGGTGAGGGGTGGTGAGGGATTTGGAGAACAGAAAGAAAGGAATATGATTTGAGACGTCTCGAAACACTACTTTTATGACGTCGTAAGGGATGGTGAGGGAGCTGGAGAACAGAAAGAAAGGAATCCCTTACGATCCCTCATATTGGAATATGAGGTGCGGTTCCTGAAAGCATGCATGGACTTGTATGTACATGCACATATGCACTTATGTCTATGGGAATATATGCATACATGTGTATCTAGCTACATATATGGAAACTGACCTCTACAGCAGTGGAGGGCGTCCAAAATCCACCATACGGGTTAGTGGTGAGCATTATAGCGGGGCTGGCTGCTCTGCACGTGCCAAAGGATGAGAACCTGGGGGGTCACAGCAGGGGAGGGGAGGCGGGTCATAAAAGGGGGTTACAGGAGGGGATTTCAGGGAGAGGTCACGGGGGGGGGGTTGGTTTCATGAGTGGGCATTATAGCGGGGCTGGCTGCTCTGCACGTGCCAAAGGACGAGAACCTGAGGAGCCACGAAAGAGGGGGGTGGGGGGGAGTGAAGGGAGAAAGGGGAGGGTACCGGAGGGGATAACAGTGGGGGATTACAGGGGGGTTTACAGCGAGGGGGTGGGTTTTACCATGAGTTGGTAACCCTACCATGATTTTGCAACCCTACCACGAATTGGTAACCCTACCATGAGATGGTAACCCTACCACGACTCCAGCAGGTCTCGTGAAAGGATGCTGGTGTTGAGACCTCTCAAAACCAACCTTCTTTCACATGCCTTTCAGACATCTCACGAGTAATCCTACCATGAGTGGGTGATCTTATTCGGCTCCAGAAGACGACTTTTGAGGCGCCTCAAAACTAAAGAGTAATCCTACCATGAGTGGGTGATCTTATTCGGCTCCAGAAGACGACTTTTGAGGCGCCTCAAAACTCAAGAGTAATCCTACCATGAGTGGGTGATCTTATTCGGCTCCAGAAGACGACTTTTGAGTGGGAGGGAGGTACACCCAGAGTGAACACCAGGGGGTTCAAGTTACAAACACCGAGGTGGTAACCCCAATGTAATCAACCACAAGAGTAACCCTACCATGAGTTGGTGATTTTATTCGGCTCCAGCAGGTCTCGAGGCGATATTTGTGTGATCACTACACCCAGAGGCGCCTCAAAGCTCCCGAAATAATATCGAGACGTGCTCCTAGCGAGTACGTTGCTGCTGCTGCTGCTGCCACTGCTGTAACTGTCACTGTAGCTGCTTCTGCTGCTGCTACTGCTGCCGCTGGTGCTGCTGCTGGCTATGCTGCTGCTGCTGCCCCTCCTCCTCCTCCTCCCACTGCTGCTGCCACGCCCCCCCAGCATACCACCTCCTGTTTGCCTCCCCTGAAGAAACCCATACACCTCCTTCACACGCCAACGCTGCTGCCTGTGATTTCCCCAATGCTTCCGCTCCGGCTGATGCTTCTGCGTCTGCATCTGCTGGTGCATGTGCTTCGCCACATGATGCCTGTGCCCCACGTGCTGCTGATCACCCATAAGCAGCCTGCTACCCACATGCTGCTTCTCATAAATCAATCTGTGCCCAACAGAAAGCACTAATTTTCTCCCTGCCTCTCCCGCTTTCCTCCCCCCACCCTTCAGCCAGGGTCCCCATCCCAGCAGAATTCTCCCCTTCCGCCCTTGCCTCACTTTCCCCCAACTCCCCCGCCTCCGCATCCCACTCCTCCCCGTTTTCTTTCCCACATACCTCCCCCCTTTCCTCCCCCCTCCCCGCTCCCCTCTCCGCCCCCCTCCCCCACCCCTGCTGCTGCTGCTGCCGCCACCACCACTGCCATTGCTCCCGGTGCTGCTTCGATCGGTGCCGTCTGTTGAATGCGGATCAAACACAGACAGGCCCAATGAACGGTCCACAGGCAGTGACACCCAATCCAACGGCTCAGCGTCTCCTTCCTCTCCCTCCTCACTCCCCATATCGTCTCCAACGTTTTCCCCTCCCACTTCCCCTCCCGGGCCCTCCCAAGCCTCTGCTGCAAAACCCAAGCCTGCAGGCTTGGCAACTCCCCCGGTAGGTTTGGGAAACTTGGCAGCAGCATTGTCGGGCCTGTCTTCTAGGCCCGTTCCCATCAAACCTGGGGCTTGCCAGTCCGTTGTGGGCCCTAAGTCAGAATCAACGGCTGATACTTGCGCTGGTGTTGCTGCTGTTTGTGCTGCTGCTGTGAGGGAAGCTGCCTTGACTCTGATGTGGGTGGGTGGGAGGGTTGGGTTGGGAAAGAGAGGGGAAACAAAAGATCGAGTTTTGAGACGTTTCGAAACCTGGAGGGAAGCTGGTGATGGTGCTTGCGCTGGTGTTGCTGCTGTTTGTGCTGCTGCTGTGAGGGAAGCTGCCTTGGCTCTGATGTGGGTGGGAGGGAAGGAGGGGTGGGTTAAAATATGCGAGTCTAGAGACGCCCTGGAATGTGGGGGAAAGCTGGTGCTGGTGCTGGTGCTGCCAACGGTGCTCTACTGGTGATTTTTCTGGTGCTAGTGCTGTTTGTGCTGCTGCTGTGAGTGAGGCTGCCTTGACACGGCTGTGAGTGGGAAGGAGGGAGGGTTGGGGGAGAGTTGGAAGAGAAGGGATATGAAAGATGCAAGAGTTGAGTCTTTGGTCCACAATGATGCGACGCCCGTGCCCGTCTTGACAACCCCCCTCATATCATAGCACCCACCCTCACCACAGCACTTTGCCCTACACCGCATCGCACCACTGCTTACCTCCCTGCGGCTGCACAGGATTGTGTGCAGCCGATGAACCGGCATTGATCCACAACAGCCCCCGTGTCCGTCCTGACGTGGATGGAAAGGCCATTGACAGCAACCCCACTCACCACAGCACTCACCTGCAACCCCCTGCACTCCCCTGCACCACTGCTTACCTCCCTGCAGCTGGGCAGGCTTGTGTGTGCCCAATGAACCGACAGCCTTTTGAGAATTCTCACCTGCAATCCCCTGAACCGACAGCTGTCCACGATGACCCCCATGTCGGTTTTGACGTGGATGGCGAGGGGGACACTTGACAGCAATCCCCCTTCCCACACTCCAAGCAAGACAAGCAAGCAGCTTACCGGCCTCCCTGCAGCTGGGCGGGCTTGTGTGCGCCCAATGAACCAGTAACCCCTCTCACAGCACCTCTCTCCACTCCTGCTTACCTCCCTGCAGCTGGGCAGGCTTGTGTGCGCCCAATGAACCAGTAACCCCTCTCACAGCACCCCTCTCCACTCCTGCTTACCTCCCTGCAGCTGGGCAGGCTTGTGTGCGCCCGATGAACCGACAGCCGTCCACAATGACCCCCATGTCGGTTTTGGCGTGGATTGTGAGGGGCACACTTGACAGCAACTCCCCTCACCACAACACCCGCTCCCTGCACTTCCTTCCACTCTCCTGCACTCCTGCTTACCTCCCTGCAGCTGGACAGGCTTGGGTGCGGCCAATGAACCGGCACTGATCCACAATGACCCCTGTGTCCGTCTTGACGTGGATGGAGAGGCCGGTAATACCAGCAACCCCTTACCTTACTGCAGCAGGGCAGCTCTGGGTGCGACCAATGAACCGGCACTGATCCACAATGACCCCTGTGTCCGTCTTGACGTGGATGGAGAGGCCGGTAATACCAGCAACCCCTTACCTTACTGCAGCAGGGCAGCTCTGGGTGCGACCAATGAACCGGCACTGATCCACAATGACCCCTGTGTCCGTCTTGACGTGGATGGAGAGGCCGGTAATACCAGCAACCCCTTACCTTACTGCAGCAGGGCAGCTCTGGGTGCGACCAATGAACCGGCACTGATCCACAATGACCCCTGTGTCCGTCTTGACGTGGATGGAGAGGCCGGTAATACCAGCAACCCCTTACCTTACTGCAGCAGGGCAGCTCTGGGTGCGACCAATGAACCGGCACTGATCCACAATGACCCCTGTGTCCGTCTTGACGTGGATGGAGAGGCCGGTAATACCAGCAACCCCTTACCTTACTGCAGCAGGGCAGCTCTGGGTGCGACCAATGAACCGGCACTGATCCACAATGACCCCTGTGTCCGTCTTGACGTGGATGGAGAGGCCGGTAATACCAGCAACCCCTTACCTTACTGCAGCAGGGCAGCTCTGGGTGCGACCAATGAACCGGCACTGATCCACAATGACCCCTGTGTCCGTCTTGACGTGGATGGAGAGGCCGGTAATACCAGCAACCCCTTACCTTACTGCAGCAGGGCAGCTCTGGGTGCGACCAATGAACCGGCACTGATCCACAATGACCCCTGTGTCCGTCTTGACGTGGATGGAGAGGCCGGTAATACCAGCAACCCCTTACCTTACTGCAGCAGGGCAGCTCTGGGTGCGACCAATGAACCGGCACTGATCCACAATGACCCCTGTGTCCGTCTTGACGTGGATGGAGAGGCCGGTAATACCAGCAACCCCTTACCTTACTGCAGCAGGGCAGCTCTGGGTGCGACCAATGAACCGGCACTGATCCACAATGACCCCTGTGTCCGTCTTGACGTGGATGGAGAGGCCGGTAATACCAGCAACCCCTTACCTTACTGCAGCAGGGCAGCTCTGGGTGCGACCAATGAACCGGCACTGATCCACAATGACCCCTGTGTCCGTCTTGACGTGGATGGAGAGGCCGGTAATACCAGCAACCCCTTACCTTACTGCAGCAGGGCAGCTCTGGGTGCGACCAATGAACCGGCACTGATCCACAATGACCCCTGTGTCCGTCTTGACGTGGATGGAGAGGCCGGTAATACCAGCAACCCCTTACCTTACTGCAGCAGGGCAGCTCTGGGTGCGACCAATGAACCGGCACTGATCCACAATGACCCCTGTGTCCGTCTTGACGTGGATGGAGAGGCCGGTAATACCAGCAACCCCTTACCTTACTGCAGCAGGGCAGCTCTGGGTGCGACCAATGAACCGGCACTGATCCACAATGACCCCTGTGTCCGTCTTGACGTGGATGGAGAGGCCGGTAATACCAGCAACCCCTTACCTTACTGCAGCAGGGCAGCTCTGGGTGCGACCAATGAACCGGCACTGATCCACAATGACCCCTGTGTCCGTCTTGACGTGGATGGAGAGGCCGGTAATACCAGCAACCCCTTACCTTACTGCAGCAGGGCAGCTCTGGGTGCGACCAATGAACCAGCACTGATCCACAATGACCCCTGTGTCCGTCTTGACGTGGATGGCTAGGCCGTTGTCAATGAATGTGGACGATTGGATGGTCATGAGACGAGTGATGTGCAGAAACATGCTGGGAGGGGGGGAGAGACAGGGTTTGGAAGGGGAGAGGGTGTGGGAGTGGGGAGCTTATAGTCGTGACGTAGTAAAGTCGTGAATGTGCCCATGTGAACTATCTGGGGAAGTGTTTGACAAGGCATACACACATCAGTGTGTGTGACAAGAAAGATGAGAAAGTTCACATGGGCACATTCACACACACAAAAACACATGCAAATACACACACGCATATACGCAAACACGCATACACGCATGCATACACACACACGTAAATACACACACGCGCGAACACACACAGATGCATCCAATCTGAAATGACAAGATACACCCCGCATTGAGGTGTATTTTGAGGCGCCTCAAAATACAATCTGAAATGACAAGATACGTCCAGCACGTTCGAATCGACCATCAACTACTGGTAACTTACCCAACTTCGTTCCGATAGATGATGAAATTTGACAGCGTCACCTGCACGCAAAACGCAAGAGGGCACGGACACGAGAGAGGAAAAATGACGAAATTAGACATTGTCACCTGCATGCACACCCGCAGGGGAGTTTAAACAAACGAATCAGATTCTAGCACATTAGACTCAATAAGAACACTCAAAACATTCAATGAACTTACCCTAACTGCACTTACAGCAAATGCTTTGCCCATTTGTACCAAACTCGCCACGTACCCTTACTACAATTACCCTGGCACCGGGCACATAAGGGACCATGCTGTGAGGGTAGGAGCGGAACCCAAACTTGGCTGAATGCGCCACATTCCCCGAGTAAAGGCCAAACTTGGTCTCTATGGTATGGGGTGCAATCATGCTCTGTCACTGGCAAGAAGAATGGCAAGCAGACTAGCACACACACTGGCACACACAGTAGCACTCACCCTGGCACCAGGAGCGTAGGGGAACATGCCATGGGGGTAGGAGCGGAACCCAAACTTGGCTGAATGCGCCACATTCCCCGAGTAAGTGCCGAACTTGGTTTCTATCGGGTGCATGTTGCGAGCGTTGGGTAAGAGCTGGGATAGACCGCGCATCCCCTCTTTAAGCTCCGTCCAGTACCTGATACAGGAGGTGCAAATAAAAGCAAAGGATAACAAGTGATACAAAGATAAGAATACTAGGTAAGCGCTGGGATAGACCCCGCATCCCGAGTTGTCTTTAGAGTCGACCCAAAAGCCATTCCCCGAGCAAGTGCCGAACTTTGTTTCTATGGGGTGCATGTTGCTGGTGGGATAGACCCCGCATCCCCTCTTTGAGCTCTGTCCAGTACCTGGTTAAGGAGGTGCAACGCACAACAAATAGCAGAAAATAAGAACAAATGATGAAAAGGAAGGCAAGAGTAGTTGAATTTTGGGTCGACCCAAAACTCATACTCATTCCCCGAGTAAAGGCCGAACTTGGTTTCTATGGGACTCATGCTGTGAGCGTTGGGTAAGATGCTGGGATAGACCTTGCTCCGAATCCTCCGACCCAGCAGCCACGTTATCAATGCAGTCGTTGTTGGGGTTGGCCATCCCACCACCCACTTAATTGGGGTTTCTGTGACCTTGCTGCTCGAAGCACATCACCCCACTCCCCCATCCACTCACCCCGAGTCCTCTGACCCAGCAGCAACGTTATCAATGCAGTCGTTGTTGGGGTTGGCCATCCAGAACGTGCCCTGCTGCCTCCACCACCACACAACCCCTCACCACCACACACAACCCCACTCACTCACCCTGAGTCCTCTGACCCAGCAGCCACGTTATCGATGCAATCATTGTTGGGGTTGGCCATTCAAAACGTGCTCGGCTTGTCGTCCGTGTGCTGCTGGGTACATACAAAGATAGTCCCAAAGGTCATTCAGGATGTCCTAAAGATCATCCTAACCTAAACCCTCTCACCCTGCTCCAAGCACCATCACACCTCCACTCACCCTGAGTCCTCCGACCCAGCAGCCACGTTATCAATGTAGTCGTTGTTGGGGTTGGCCTAGATTTGAGGCGCCTCAAAGCTAGACTTCTCTCACGCTGGATCATGTCTAACAGCCCTCTGACCCAGCAGCCACGTTATCAATGTAGTCGTTGTTGGGGTTGGCCTAGATTTGAGGCGCCTCAAAACTAGACTTCTCTCACGCTGGATCATGTCTAACAGTCCTCTGACCCAGCAGCCACGTTATCAATGTAGTCGTTGTTGGGGTTGGCCTAGATTTGAGGCGCCTCAAAACTAGACTTCTCTCACGCTGGATCATGTCTAACAGTCCTCTGACCCAGCAGCCACGTTATCAATGTAGTCGTTGTTGGGGTTGGCCTAGATTTGAGGCGCCTCAAAACTAGACTTCTCTCACGCTGGATCATGTCTAACAGTCCTCTGACCCAGCAGCCACGTTATCAATGTAGTCGTTGTTGGGGTTGGCCTAGATTTGAGGCGCCTCAAAACTAGACTTCTCTCACGCTCGATCATGTCTAACAGTCCTCTGACCCAGCAGCCACGTTATCAATGTAGTCGTTGTTCGGGTTAGCCGTCCAGAACGTGCCCTGCTGCATGTGACCCTACACACACCACACCCCACCCACTCACTCACCCTGAGTCCTCCGAACCAGCAGCCACGTTATCAATGTAATCATTGTTAGGGTTGGCCATCCAGAATGTGCCCTGCTGCCGGCCCGGCACCACCATACAACCCCTCACCACCACACACAACCCCTCTCACTCACCCCGAGTCCTCCGACCCAGCAGCCGCGTTATCAATGTAGTCGTTGTTGGGGTTGGCCATCCAGAACGTGCCCTGCGGCCGGCCCGGCACCACCATACAACCCCTCACTACCACACACAACCCCTCTCACTCACCCCGAGTCCTCCGACCCAGCAGCCGCGTTATCAATGTAGTCGTTGTTGGGGTTGGCCATCCAGAACGTGCTCGGCTTGTCGTCCGTGTGCTTATCGTACGACTCTTTAGAGGGGATGACCACCTTCACTGCAGGAAGGGGAGGAAGCGCACAAGCAGTCATGTGAGGGGCAAACGCACGTCAGGGCCACGCAGCAGCACTGAATCACATCACGGGCAGCAAGCGAGGTGACTTATGAGTCGAATCGAAACTCAACGCACGTCAGGGCCACGCAGCAGCACTGAATCACATCACGGGCAGCAAGCGAGGTGACTTATGAGTCGAATCAAAACTCAACGCACGTCAGGGCCACGCAGCAGCACTGAATCACATCACTGGCAGCAAGCGAGGTGACTTATGAGTCGAATCAAAACTCAACGCACGTCAGGGCCACGCAGCAGCACTGAATCACATCACTGGCAGCAAGCGAGGTGACTTATGAGTCGAATCAAAACTCAACGCACGTCAGGGCCACGCAGCAGCACTGAATCACATCACTGGCAGCAAGCGAGGTGACTTATGAGTCGAATCAAAACTCAACGCACGTCAGGGCCACGCAGCAGCACTGAATCACATCACTGGCAGCAAGCGAGGTGACTTATGAGTCGAATCAAAACTCAACGCACGTCAGGGCCACGCAGCAGCACTGAATCGCATCACTGGCAGCAAGCGAGGTGACTTATGAGTCGAATCAAAACTCAACGCACGTCAGGGCCACGCAGCAGCACTGAATCACATCACTGGCAGCAAGCGAGGTGACTTATGAGTCGAATCAAAACTCAACGCACGTCAGGGCCACGCAGCAGCACTGAATCACATCACTGGCAGCAAGCGAGGTGACTTATGAGTCGAATCAAAACTCAACGCACGTCAGGGCCACGCAGCAGCACTGAATCACATCACTGGCAGCAAGCGAGGTGACTTATGAGTCGAATCAAAACTCAACGCACGTCAGGGCCACGCAGCAGCACTGAATCACATCACTGGCAGCAAGCGAGGTGACTTATGAATCGAATCAAAACTCAACGCACGTCAGGGCCACGCAGCAGCACTGAATCACATCACTGGCAGCAAGCGCGGTGACTTATGAGTCGAATCAAAACTCAACGCACGTCAGGGCCACGCAGCAGCACTGAATCACATCACTGGCAGCAAGCGAGGTGACTTATGAGTCGAATCAAAACTCAACGCACGTCAGGGCCACGCAGCAGCACTGAATCACATCACTGGCAGCAAGCGAGGTGACTTATGAGTCGAATCAAAACTCAACGCACGTCAGGGCCACGCAGCAGCACTGAATCACATCACTGGCAGCAAGCGAGGTGACTTATGAGTCGAATCAAAACTCAACGCACGTCAGGGCCACGCAGCAGCACTGAATCACATCACTGGCAGCAAGCGAGGTGACTTATGAGTCGAATCAAAACTCAACGCACGTCAGGGCCACGCAGCAGCACTGAATCACATCACTGGCAGCAAGCGAGGTGACTTATGAGTCGAATCAAAACTCAACGCACGTCAGGGCCACGCAGCAGCACTGAATCACATCACTGGCAGCAAGCGAGGTGACTTATGAGTCGAATCAAAACTCAACGCACGTCAGGGCCACGCAGCAGCACTGAATCACATCACTGGCAGCAAGCGAGGTGACTTATGAGTCGAATCAAAACTCAACGCACGTCAGGGCCACGCAGCAGCACTGAATCACATCACTGGCAGCAAGCGAGGTGACTTATGAGTCGAATCAAAACTCAACGCACGTCAGGGCCACGCAGCAGCACTGAATCACATCACTGGCAGCAAGCGAGGTGACTTATGAGTCGAATCAAAACTCAACGCACGTCAGGGCCACGCAGCAGCACTGAATCACATCACTGGCAGCAAGCGAGGTGACTTATGAGTCGAATCAAAACTCAACGCACGTCAGGGCCACGCAGCAGCACTGAATCACATCACTGGCAGCAAGCGAGGTGACTTATGAGTCGAATCAAAACTCAACGCACGTCAGGGCCACGCAGCAGCACTGAATCACATCACTGGCAGCAAGCGAGGTGACTTATGAGTCGAATCAAAACTCAACGCACGTCAGGGCCACGCAGCAGCACTGAATCACATCACTGGCAGCAAGCGAGGTGACTTATGAGTCGAATCAAAACTCAACGCACGTCAGGGCCACGCAGCAGCACTGAATCACATCACTGGCAGCAAGCGAGGTGACTTATGAGTCGAATCAAAACTCAACGCACGTCAGGGCCACGCAGCAGCACTGAATCACATCACTGGCAGCAAGCGAGGTGACTTATGAATCGAATCAAAACTCAACGCACGTCAGGGCCACGCAGCAGCACTGAATCACATCACTGGCAGCAAGCGCGGTGACTTATGAGTCGAATCAAAACTCAACGCACGTCAGGGCCACGCAGCAGCACTGAATCACATCACTGGCAGCAAGCGAGGTGACTTATGAGTCGAATCAAAACTCAACGCACGTCAGGGCCACGCAGCAGCACTGAATCACATCACTGGCAGCAAGCGAGGTGACTTATGAGTCGAATCAAAACTCAACGCACGTCAGGGCCACGCAGCAGCACTGAATCACATCACTGGCAGCAAGCGAGGTGACTTATGAGTCGAATCAAAACTCAACGCACGTCAGGGCCACGCAGCAGCACTGAATCACATCACTGGCAGCAAGCGAGGTGACTTATGAGTCGAATCAAAACTCAACGCACGTCAGGGCCACGCAGCAGCACTGAATCACATCACTGGCAGCAAGCGAGGTGACTTATGAGTCGAATCAAAACTCAACGCACGTCAGGGCCACGCAGCAGCACTGAATCACATCACTGGCAGCAAGCGAGGTGACTTATGAGTCGAATCAAAACTCAACGCACGTCAGGGCCACGCAGCAGCACTGAATCACATCACTGGCAGCAAGCGAGGTGACTTATGAGTCGAATCAAAACTCAACGCACGTCAGGGCCACGCAGCAGCACTGAATCACATCACTGGCAGCAAGCGAGGTGACTTATGAGTCGAATCAAAACTCAACGCACGTCAGGGCCACGCAGCAGCACTGAATCACATCACTGGCAGCAAGCGGCAAGCACGGGCAGCAAGCGGCAAGCACGGGCAGCAAGCAGCAAGCAGCAAGCAGGTAAAGAGAGGGATAAAAGGCAGTGCACGGGCAGCAAGCAGCAAGCAGGTAAAGAGAGGGATAAAAGGCAGTGCACGGGCAGCAAGCAGCAAGCAGCAAGCAGCAAGCAGCAAGCAGGTAAAGAGAGGGATAAAAGGCAGTGCACGGGCAGCAAGCAGCAAGCAGCAAGCAGGTAAAGAGAGGGATAAAAGGCAGTGCACGGGCAGCAAGCAGCAAGCAGCAAGCAGGTAAAGAGAGGGATAAAAGGCAGTGCACGGGCAGGTAACAAGGGAAGTCGCTCTAGTGAGTCGTCAAAACGATACGTTCTGTCCATCCCCTGTCATGTTCTGTCATGCCCTCTCATGCCCTCTCATGCCCTCGCATGCCCTCTCATGCCCTCTTACCTCATACACACTCTCCTACCCTTCCACTCCACCAGCAAGCAGAGCAGTTCCCTTGTTCACAAACGAGGCACTCTATAAGCTGATCTTCCTGATCTTCCCCCACCCCTGCATTAATCCCCCGCCCGCCCATGTCACTCCACGTTTTCTTCCCGTCTCACTCCTCCCTCCCCCCACGTCCTCGCCCTGATCCCAAGAAGGTACCTCGGAAAAGTGTCGTTGTTTTTCAACCCCTCCTCACAAGGTGGGTGGGACCTTGGGATTACCGTGGGGGGATTGAAGGCCCCAGTGACATACGAGAGCAAGGGGGCACTGCTTTCCGCACGCTGATTCCCAGGTTCCTCCGAAACACGACGTTGTTTTCTGAACCTTCCTCCACGAGAAAGAAGTGCCCCTTGCTCTCAGTCAAAGCAGTTTCTGAGCCCACCGTCCCCATGTCCCAAACAAAACCAACCAGCACCCACCTTTCCGCACGCTGATTCCCAGGTTCCTCTTAAACACGTTGTTGTTCTCCGACCCTTCCTCCACGAGAAAGCAGTGCCCCTTGCTCTCGAACGTCACCGTGTCTTCGATCGTCATGTTGCTCGTTGCATGGATGACTACACAGCGCTGAGAAGGGGGTGTAAATGGAAGAGAGAGGAATGCAAATGGTAAGGAATGGGGTTTAGATGGAAGGCGGACACTGTGCTGTATTTATGGTGGATATGAAATACAATACACGTGAAAAAGTTACAGTGTCTTTTTTAGACGTCTTGCTGCTGTACATGATCGCATTCTTCCGCACGACGTGGCTCTGATTCGCCTCCCCACAACACCAGCAGCAGCAGCAGCACCAGCAGCAGCACCAGCAGCAGCACCTGCAGCAGCACCTGCAGCAGCAGCATTGTGCCATCTCACCTGCTTGCTGTACACAATTGCATTCTTGCGCACGACGTGGCTCTGATTCGCCTCCCCACACACGTGGAAGTGCAGCGGGTATCGCCCCAGCACGCCCTGCTGCCCCATGTACGCGAACTGCACCCCCTCTATGAATTGAGGGGTCTGTGTCATGAACACCATGAAGTGACCTCCTGGGGGATGGGGGGTTGGGAGAGATTGGCAGAGAGAGCAATGTTAGAGGCCTGTCTAGGTGGGTCCCGCCCCAGCACGCCCTGCTGCCCCATGTAGGCGAACTGCACCCCCTCTATAGACTGAGGGGTTTGAGTCATAAACACCATGAAGTGACCTCCTGGGAAGAGGGGGGGGGGGGGGGTGAATGGGGAAAGACAAGAAGGGAAAGGCGCGGATTTGCAGCAGGTACTTTTGAGACGTCTCAAGAGTCCGATTTGCAGCAGGTACTACCCCAGTTAACCAGTCGATACTGGTTTGTATTCCCCCCATCTCATGCGCCCTGTAAATGAAAAATTTCCGGTGAAACAGCCCCACCCACCTCCCCCCTCACGCACACCAACCGCCCCTCCCCTCCCCCGCCCACTCTTACAACCACAACCAATCCAGGCGCTCTCTTTTACAGTCTCGCTGACTGACCTTCCAGCTCATATTTCCCTGGTTCATGCATCCCGTAGATCACGATATTCTGGTGCAGAAGCCCCACCTTCCCCCTCACGTCCACCGACCCTCCCTCACCCGACCACCCTGGCATAACAAACAATCGCTAGGGTCACACTCTAATAGTTACACTGACTGACCTTCCAGCTCATATTTCCCCGGTTCATGCATCCCATAGATCAACACGTTCTGGTGCAGCAGCCCCACCTCCCCTCTCACGTCCACCACCTTTCCCTCACCTCCACAGCCCCGCTTAGTCACACACACTTCGACTTCCTACACTCCTCACTCGTACCTTCCAGCTCGTATTTCCCGGTCTCACGCACCCCATAGATCACGATGTTCCGGTGCGGGAGCCCCACCTCCCCCCCCCCTCACGTCCACTGCCCCACCCAGTCACACTTCCCATCCCACAATCATATCTCGTACCTTCCAGCTCATGCACCCCGAAATCACGATATTCCTTCGGTCCGGTTTAGCAGCCCCACCCACCTCCCCCTCAGGCGAACTGCCCCTCGTACTGAGCTTCTCACACTGGGCTTCTCACCCACACTCATCACTCGTACCTTCCAGCTCGTGTTTCCCCGGCTCATGCACCCCGTAGATCACGATACCCCCCTTCACATCCACCAACTTTCCCTCACCCTGTTGCTTCACTCTTTACCACACCTTTACAGTCACACCTCTGCACACTGACCTTCCAGCTCGTGTTTCCCCGGCTCATGCACCCCATAGATCACCATACCCCTCCGGTGCAGAAGCCCCACCTCCCCCCTCACGCTCACCGCCCCCCACTTCCTCACCCGGTGGTGACAATGTAACACCCACTAGGATCACACTTCATTATGCTCACACCCACTGTCCTTTCAATTCGTATTTCCCGGCTCATGCATCCCATAGATCACAACGTTCCAATGCAGCAGCCCCACCTCCGCCCTCAGATCCACCACCCCCCTCACCCTGTGACAATAAACAGTCGCAAGGAGGATCACACTTCAATATAGTCACACTGACCTTCCAGCTCGTATTTCCCCGTCTCATGCACCCCGTAGATCACGATGTTCCGGTGCAGCAGCCCCACCTCCCCCCTCAAGTCCACCGCCCCTCCAAGCCCATCCGACACGGCCTTGGGATTGCCGTCATGGGAGTACTTTAAAGGGGCTGTGAGCGATATGCGGTACCCCTGAGGGTGGGAGGAAACTGGGGGGGAAGAAGGCGGGAGCGGGAGGGCAGAGAAGGGAAGGGAGGACGGGCATGAAACCTGCCCGGCAGGGCCTTGGCATTGCCGCCGTGGGAGCACTTTAATGGGGTGGTGAGTGAACGCACTCTTTCCGCTACTGAGATACTGTGTCGTGTTTTCCACTCGCCCACACCTCACTGAACCGCATCAAACTGCTCCAATCCGAATGGAATCGCACTCCACTCATACTCACCTCCTGCAATCACTGCCTTTTCGGCCTCATCCATCTTAGCACTCGTAGACGCAATCGCAATCTCGCCGCCCACCGGCCACGTGCTGACGTCAGCGTCCACCACGATCTCCGTCTGGCCGGCGATCGCCGTCTTATTCAAGCGCACCCACACCGGCATGGACGGCGGGCCTGGTAGGCCGTGCAAGTCCACCTGCCCTCCCACCTTGATGGGGGAAGGGGAGAGAGGTAAATGCGAGAAACAGGGGGGAGAAGGAAGAAGAAAAGGAGGTGGCTCTTTTATAGAAGTGCACCCACACTCCCAATGGCATGGAAGGTGGGCCTGGTAGACCGTGTAAGTCCACCTGCCCTCCAACCTTGGTGGGGGAGGAGAAGAGAAGGGGGAGAGGGAATGGGAAGGGTGGAAGACAGGGTCGGAAGGGGTAAAATGGAGAGTCCTTAGCAAAGTGCACCCACATTGGCAAGGACGGCAGGCCTGGGAGAGGGTGCAAGGCAAGTTCACCTGCCCTCTCCGACCTTGGTGGGGGAGGAGGAGGAGGAGGAGAGAGGTAGAAGGGAGAATGAGAATGCTCTTGGTCGTGCACAGGCTAGTTGATTTACGACCCCACCCACTAACAGCACCACTCACCGCCGTATGAAATCCGCGTGCAGTGAGGTGTATTTTGAGGCGCCTCAAAATACACCTCACTGCACACGGATTTCATACGGAGAGGATTATTACAGCTTGGAAGTGTTCGTGTAACTTGCAAAAGTTACTGGTGCGCGCGCGGTTACATCAACGAATTGGTTGACGAAGACCTTCTCGAGGGCTGACTTTGCACCCTGGGTGTATCCCATTTGCTTAGCTGGCCGAGTGACTTGTCACTCTGGGTAGTTGTTTGTACATTTGTAGATCTCGAGGGCAGTTGCTAGCAACTTAGCCTGCTTCTGTCCGAACTCTTTCTTTTGTGGATCTGGTAGCTTACTGATGAAGGCTTAGCGGGTTGGAGACCCGTGAGCCGAAACTAGTTTGAGCTGTAAGGATTCTCGTTAGTGAAGGGTTTTAAGGTTTCTACTGATCGTTTTTCCAGGAAAGATTTTCTGTTTCGTTTCCTTTTGTTGCTTTAAGCGTCACTCTTTAGAATTGCTGCTCTTCCACTATGAGCGAAGACCCTAACAGCACCACTCACCGCGGCAAACACCTAGTGGCTGGAGAAGGCGGGTTCGGCCGGGGGAAAGAGCGTGAACGCGCACTCCTTCCTCTGCCGCCCACTGTTGGTGTTGAGGCGACTCACCACCACTCACCACCACTCACCACCACTCACCACCACATGTAAACATGCCAGCATGCCCCACTCCCAGAGCAACTCACCACAGCAAATACCTTGTGCCCCTGAGGCCTGGGAAAGGCAGGTCCGGCCAGGGGGAAGAGCGTGAAGGCATACTCTCTCCTTCACCTCCCACCCACTGCAGATGTTTAGGTGTCTAACACATATCCACCATTACTCACTCACCACTACTCACCATTACTCACCACAGCAACCACCTTATGGCCCAGAGGCCTAGGGAAGGCAGGTTCAGCCGGAGGGAAGAGCGTGAAGCCGTACTCTCTCTTCTGCCTGCCTTCTATTGAGAGTGTGTTGAGTCAACTCAGCACCATGACTCACCACCGTATGCAAACCTGCTAGTTTGGCACACTTATGGAGCTACTCACCTCTACTCACCACTACTCACCACGGCAAACACCTTGTGGCCCAGAGGCCTAGGAAAGGCGGGTTCAGCCGGAGGGAAGAGCGTGAAGCCATACTCTCTCCTCTGCCGCCCGCTGTTGGGCGTGAGCGTGAACAGTGCCTGGGCGGCAAACTGCTTGTCCTTTTCCCCCACCGTCAGCCGCCCGGTGACTATAATGAAGTTGGCGCGGATCTCGATGCGCGGCAGGCGTGGCTTATCGTCTAGGAGCCTGGTGGAGGAGGGAGGTGATGAGGGTAGGATGTGATGTGACTATAACGAATAAAAGGGATCCTAACAAAGAGTACTATAATGAAGTTGGCGAAGAATCCGATGCGTGGCTTGTCGTCTAGGAGCCTGGTAGAGGGAGGGAGGTGAAAGAGGGGTGATGTGATGTGACTTTAACGAATGAAGGGACTGTAACGAAGTTGGCGCGCGAACCTCGCTGCGCGGCAGGCGTGGCTTGTCGTCCAAGAGCCTGGTACGTGGAGGAAGGTAAAAGAGGGGTGATGTGATGTGATGTGATTATAACAAAGGAGGAGTTACATCCAAGGGGACTAAACCATACTATGTCATCCCCAGCTCAGCTCGAATCAGTTACGATGCGTGGCTTGTCGTCCAAGAGCCTGGTCGAGGGAGGGGAAAGCGGCGAGATGTGACTGTAACGAATAAAGGGATTGTAACGAGAAGTACTATAACGATGTTGGCGCGGATCTAGATGGGCAGCTGTCAAAAGTGATGGCTACTCCCCTTTCCCAGTACTCGCTTCAACCGCTCGTGAACATGCAACGAGTCAAGGCATAAATTATGCCAGTACTCACTTCAACCACCCGTGCACGTGTAGCGTGTCCAGTGTAACACTAGCCACGGCACAGCAGCACAGCCATGCCACACGGCACAACAGAAGCAGCAGCACCACCACCACCACCACCAGCACACTTTCCTCTCCCAGAACTCACTTGAGCCATCCGTGCACGTGTAGTGTGTCGAGGGTCACATTCGCCACATCCAGCAGCACAGCCACGCCACACGGCACAGTCACATTGCCTCCTGCTCACTGAGTTGAACTGCGACTTGGGAGTCACTTTTGAGAATTCTCAAAAGTATCTGTGAGGGTTTTTATCCCTTTACTAGTACTCACTTGAGCCACCCATGCACGTGCAGAGTATCGAGGGTCACATTCGCCACATCCAGCAGCACAGCCATTCCACAAGCAGCACCACCAGCACCACCACCACAAACACACTGTCCTCTCCTAGAACTCACTTGAGCCATCCGTGCACGTGTAGCGTGTCAAGGGTCACATTAGCCACGTCCAGCAGGACAGCCATGCCACACGGTATAGTCACGTTCCCTCCTGCCCTTGACCGCACCCCTGGGGGGTCCCTGCTGCTCTTGAAAGCCGCCCCCCATACAGTCACATCGCTCCACCTACTCCACCCTGGTGTGTACGGGGGAGAAGTGAGGGAGGGTTGGGAGTAACAGCACAGCACAGCACAGCACAGCACAGCACAGCACAGCACAGCACAGCACAGCACAGCACAGCACAGCACAGCACAGCACAGCACCGCACAGCACAGCACAGCACAGCACAGCACCGCACAGCACAGCACAGCACCGCACAGCACAGCACAGCACAGCACAGCACAGAAAGTCATGCCACAGGGCACTGTCACGTTCCCTCCTGCCCTTGACCGCACCTGAAAGCTGCCCCCCATACAGTCACACCGCTCCATTCACTCCATCCTGGCGTGATTTTAAAAAGGGGAAAGGGAGAAAGAGCGTTGGGAGGCACAGTCACATTCCCTCCCTCCTGCTCTTGACCGCAACCCAGGGGGTCCCTGCTACCCCTGTAGGCTGGCCCCCGTACAGTCACATCGCTGCACCTGCTCCATCCTGGTTGGTGTGATTGTAACGAGGGGAAGATGGGGAGAGAGGGACGGGAAGGGAGGGCGGAGGCTGCGCGCGCTCATGGGCGGAACGAACCTCTGGAGGGTCCCCTCATGGGCGGAAGTGGGCACGACGGGCGGAATGTGCGCTCATGGGCGGAACGTACCTGGGGGGAGGGGGGGGGGCGTTAATGTGCGGAACGTACCACCGGAGGGTCCGCTCACGGGCGGAAGCAGGCACGACGGGCGGAACACGTCCAGCACGCTCATGGGCGCCGCGCGCGCGGATGCCACGCCTCCGGGGAAAAGCCACGGCGCGCGGAAGAATGGTGGCGCGGGGGAGAACGGCGCGCGGAAGGATGATGCTGGAGCGCGGGAGAACGGCGCGGGGGAGAACGGCGCGGGGGAGAGGAGGAGCGCGACAAGGGGGAGGAGCAGAAACGCGTCGGCGGAGGGGAAGAGCGGACGGCGGAGGTTGCGGGGGGAGCGGCCATCATGGCGGAAGGAGCGCGAAAGGCGGGGCCTCCCCGGATGGGAAAGGTAAGGGGCTGGGGTCGGAGGGGCCATGATTGGACGATTATCGGTGCTGCGCGCGTGGAGTCACGGTGTCACGTGATGCTCACGTGGCGCAAACGTGCTGCTCACGTGGCGTTCACGTACTGCTCACGTAGCCACAAGCCCAATAACGTGATTCTGACGGGAAGTAACCTCTCCGCCTTCGTCCCACGAGTGTTTTACATGCGAAAGTAACTTCTGCCGCACTAACATTGGCCTAGAGTCGCGTGGTCACTGCACGCGCCGCGCCAGGCTATGGTAGTAACGAATTTCCAGTCTGTACGGGGCTCATGCGTGCGTGACGCAGGGACAATACAAGTAGTGTGTTAGTCGCCCGCACGACTACAGGCTCGGATTCGGACAAGAGCAAAGACGGAGAAAGGCGGCGGCGAGAAGAGGAAAAGTGCGGTGCGTGTGCGTCGGTTCCGCTGGAACAGTGAGGCTCGTGTTGGGGTGTGGAACTTGCAGGGCGCTTTGCGACAACGTGCGTTGCTTGCTTGTGATTCTGGCGAAAGCCGCCACTGCCAATAAACGGTTTCGCAACTCTCGAGAAAGGGTAACCCGTACTGCAAGCTTCATGCTCAGTCAACGTCGGCTGTTCCAAGCTGCGTTGCTGGTGGCACCAGAAAGCATCACACCACGTTACACGCCGTCGCGCCGATTTGAACCTTCCTATACCTCCCGTCGCCCCGTTTCAACCTCACCTGCCACCCAACCAACCACCCAACAACAAGCAATGAAGCTTCCGCTTTCGTTCTTCCAAATTCCACCTTTCGCACCGACACGGGAGTACATCGTGGCCGTCCATATTACTAGCCGTCAGTGGCGTGGTGCCCTGCAAAACCGCACCAACCCCAACCAACCTTCGCCAGATACCGCTTGGCACTTTTTGGGTTGCGTAGCAACCCTATATATTTGGTTTCACATTTTGGGGATATCATATCAAGAGTGATTTTTCATACACTCTTTGGAGCACCCGTTTGAACTTTCTAAAACTGTGTTCAAACAGATGCATCAAATAGTGAATAAAAACCACTCTTGAATGAGATCCATAAATGTGAAACCAAATATTATGCGCGTGCGTATCATGTTGAAACCATGAACTTGTTCGACCGTCCCAGCTCGTCGATTAATACGGCGGATGGTACGGCCGAGCATAATATTCTGGCTTCAACATGAACGAATGCAATTGTACAGATGAACAACAAAGTATGAAATGTGGGCGGATGCTTCAAAATGAATGTTAAAATGCATCATGTAACAACAGAGGTTGATGGGGTCGTTGAAACAGCGAAAACCCGCTGCCCCAAAGACGATTAACAACCTCTAATTGCATACATGACACATACTAACGCCACACTTTGAGACACACATCCCACAAACATGAATGCAAACGCACGTAAAAAAGGTACAACCCATCCAACCAAACGCATCGAAATGCAACCCCACAGTGAAACAAACACAACAAGAAGACATGAACACACACCTGCACAAACACACCCGCACCGCACACACATACATACACAAATAGGATTGAGAGCAGACAAGCATAACAAAGAGTTGCAATATGTTAATTATGTATCAATCACTGCTACCTTGTCCCACCTTCCTCCCCCTTCCCGCCTGCCTTCCTCTCCCTCCACCATAAAAATCTCCTTCCACCCTTTTCCACATTGTCTTCTCTCTCGAATTCCCCTCCCTGCTCCCCACAACACGTCTCGCACACCTTGCAAAACAAACAGGTCAAGTAGAAAATAAATTGTAGTCGGAAAACGGAGTGAATTTCAATGTCGAGCATGCACTGGATTGTGAAATAGAACTTGAAAAGAAAGCATGGGTTGAAATATGATAAGTACAAAAGGAAACCGAATTTGACGACTCACAAGCATAGATCCCCTGGGGTCAAGCACACCATGCTGGTGGCTCCAGCGAGAAAGGTGCATTGGTGCAACGAGCTGGGCATCGCCATGCTACAAGGCGCTAGAGAGTTGTAGCAAGGCACCGGCAGAGGAGAAAGCGGGCTGCCGTAGCAAGGCGTGAGCTCACTGCAGCAAGGCGTGAGCTCACTGCAGCAAGGCGTTGTCAAACATTATACTTGTCATATTTGTGTAGGCTATAGTGGGTTAGCCTTCTAGGGGGTACACTACTCTAGGTTTTGGTACTTGTACTCCCATTCCCTTCCTAGTTCATCATTCTCATTCATTCTTAGTTTCTAACATGGTATTACGAGCCTAGGTCGTAACCTAGGATCGACTGATAGGGCCCACCGTTTCCGCTTAGTCGCGCCCGAGCGCGCCTCGCCTAGTCGCGCCTTCGAGCGCCCTCCTCTCACCTTTACTGTCGCGCGCCCTAGCGTGCCTCTTGCGATCGGCCCCGCCCAGCCCGCACGCCCTAGCGTGCCCCATGCGATCGGCCCCGCCCTTCTCACACGCCCTCGCGTGCGACCCGCGCAGCCCCACGCGCGTAGCCTGCCCCGCGCGCGCCCTTGCGTGCCTCGTGCGGCCCCGAGCGCTAGCTGCCCCACGCGCCCGTGCGCGCTCCTCACGAACCGGCCCCGCCCTTCCTCGCACGCCCTTGCGTGCCCCGTGCGACCGGCCCACACCCACCCGCGCGCCCTTGCGTGCCCCTCGCGTATCGGCCCCGCCCCGCTAGCCCGCCCTTGCGTGCCCCGTGCGACCAGGCCCCGCCCCGCTAGCCCGCCATCTCGTGCCCCGCGCGGACCGGCCCTGCTCTGCCCTGCACGCCCTCGCGTGCCCCACCTCGAGTAGCCGCCGCCTAGCCGAGCCGAGCCGCCCCATCGAACCGCGTCGCCCGGCCCGAGCCGCGCCGCCCTACCGAGCCGCGCCGCTGCTGCTGTCACTGCTACTGACGCTACTGCTGTTACTGCTGCTACTGCTGCTACTGCTCCTACTACAACTATGGCTAGCCCTGCTGTGCTCGCTTTCGATGCTGAGGGCCGCCCGCTGAAGTTTGACACCTGGCTCGATGACTTGCACATGTTCCTCCAGCTCACTGCCAAGGAGGATATCTCGCTGTACGATCACGCACTAGGACTCGCTGCTGCCCCTGCTGCTACTGCTGACAGTACTGCCCGCTCACAGTGGCAGACTCGTGACGCCCACACTCGCTTCGCTATTCGCAACTCCCTGCCGATAGATGAGCGCGAGCACTTTGGCCAGCACAAAACTGCGCAGGCACTGTACACTGTTGTAGTTGCACGCTACTCCTCACCTGCCTCTGCTGCGCTAGGCCGTCTCTCGCTCCCCTACCTGTTCCCAGACCTGTCCGCCTTCTCCACAGTCGCTGACCTCATCACGCACCTCCGCACTAGTGAGGCCCGCTTCCGTGCCGCTATGCCTGCTGAGTTTCTTGCCAAGAACCCCCCCCCGCTGTGGCTCACTCTCTACCACCTGGTCACCCGTCTCCCTGACTCTCTTCGTGCGGTCAGGGACCACTTCCTCGCTCGCTGCCCCACTGAGCTCACCGTTGATCTGCTCGAGCAGGAACTGCTTGCAGCTGAGACTAGCATAGTCGCTGTAGGTGCCTCTCGTGGCGACCCCCGCACCCCTTTCTTCGAGGGGTGTTCCCCTTCCCCCCTTCTCCCCTCTGTCGCCTCTGCTGCTGCTGTCGACCTCGTTGGTACTGAGCAGGTCGGGACTGCGTCCACTCTGAGTTGGCGCCGCAGCGGCAAGGGCAAAGGGGGCAAGGGAGGCGGCGGTGACGGCGGGGGAGGCGGTGGTGGGGGCGGTGGCGGCGGTGGGGGTGGTGGCGGGGCTGGAGGGGCTAGTGGCAGCAGTGGGGGTGGTGGCGGCAGCGGCGAAGGAGGTGGCCGGGGTGGGGGCGGTGGTGGTGGCGGCAGTGGACGCGGTGGCGGCAGGGGCGGTGGTGGTCGAGGTGGTGGCGGCGGAGGTGGAGGTCGTGGAGGCGCTGGCGGTGGCCAGAGCCAACTGCAGACTCCGTCGTCCCAGGAGCTTCGTGAGTGGTACTCTCAGCACGGGGGGGGGGGGGGGGTGGCCTTAGCTGCACGTACGTCATCCGCACTGGTGACCGCACTGGCCAGACGTGTGGGAGGGCGCACACCACGCAGCGCTGCTTCTCCCGCCTCGACGACGCCTGGCGCACTCAGTTTCCTGGTGCCACTGAGCTGCCCCGCTGGGCTGATTTGATGAGGAAGAACATTGATATTTATGCTCTTGACTTTGATGCTATTCTTGGTGCCATGTATGTGTTGTCTGCTAGTGGAGAGAGTGACCAGTACCTGCGAGGTACCAGGTAGACCCGGTTGAGCCTGTCGAGGTAGCTGTCGACTCTCGTCCTACTAGGGGTGCTGAGCCTGGGGGTGCGGAGCCTGGGGGTGCTGAGCCTGAGCGTGCGGAGCCTGGGGGTGCTGAGTCTGCGGGTGCTGAGTCTGGGGGTGCTGAGCCTGAGAGTGCTACGTCTGAGGGTGCTGAGCCTGGGGATGCTGCGACTGACCGTGCTGAGCCTGGAGGTGCTCCCTCTTCCCAGCAGCTACGTGAGTGGTACTCGTGGTACTGCAGCCTCAGGAGGGGCGCTTCTGGGGCTAGGGGTGCTGCTGGAGCTGGTGCTCGTGGTTCCCCGCCGAGGCTGGAGCCGCCCTCTCCCCAGCGGCTCCGAGAGTGGTACGCTCGGCGCTGCAGTCTCCGGAGTGGTGCTGCTGGTGCCGCCGACCCTGGAGTTGGAGCTGCTGCTGGTGCTGAGGACCCTGGAGCTGGAGCTGCGGCTGGTGCCGCGGACCCTGGAGCTGGTGCTGGTGCTGCTGGCGCGGGAGCTGCTGGTGGTGCTGCTGGAGACGCTACTGGTGCTGGAGCTGCTGGAGGCGCTGCTGGTGCTGGAGGTGCTGCTAGTGCTGGAGCTACTGGAGGTACTGCTGGTGCTGGAGCTGCTGGAGCCGCTGGTTCTGGAGGTGCTCATACTGGAGGTACTGGAGCTGCTGCGGGGGTTGGAGCTGGAGGTTCTGGAGCTGCTGGTGTTGCTGGTGGTGCTGCGGGCGT